TATAGCCTAAGTGACTAAATTTTCGAAAATCACTTTTTGATCGCTTTGAGTAGTACAGCCTTTGATACACCTTATGTTAAAATTCTAAATTTGAACGTTTACTGCAATGTGTTTCAATCCTTCAGTAAATCAATCGCGTATCTCACAATGGTCCCCAATTTCTACGTGATTCAACCGCCCAAGTGCCAGTTTTGCAGCCCGATGGCGAATGGGCAGTTGAATCACGCAGTTTCAGTGACTTGTTGAGAGTGTTCACCTGTCGCGTAGGCGGCGTGACCCACACGACTGTGGCCTTTTTCAAAACAGACTGGAGGGTAACATCAAAACAACCTTTGCTAACTTCGACTCGAATCGAACCCTATCGATAGCCAGAAGATTTTGTCAAGGCAGTTTGCGTAATGTACATGTATCACTAGGTTTGGTAGCGTAGTTAAGAAAGGGCAAGATGGCACCAAAGAATAATTCTGCTAATACTGACTCGACCAAGTCGGTAAGTGTAAGCTGTGACAAAAGCTACTGACGAATGCATTTTTTTAAAAGTCTAAGATTGACACCTTAGGGGCGTTTATTTCACATTTGTTACAACAATTGGAAAATATTTTTGTCACGACTTTTCGCGTTTCGTTATTTACTTTAAGTGTGCGCCCCTTGCTGTGTCTGTCATGAACAATTCTTGAATCATTGATTAGGCTAGTCAATCAGTGCTGGGTAGATGATTCTTAATAACAATTTAATTTGTCACTCCAAAATATAGCAACCTATGAACATATTCGCCCCAAAAATTCTCTCTTCAACAAATCTTCAACTTTAACTCTCGAGATCTACACTTCAATTTTAAACGAATCTCATACATTCCTCCTATATGCAAAACAATGAGTATGTGTACAGCTGCACTCACACAGTGATTATTCGTGGCCGTTGCAAAGACAGTTTACATGACTTGGAGATGGGAGCTCCGCGATTTTTTTTTTTTTTATTACAAGAGAACAGAAGAGGACAAGCAATTGTATGATTAGTAGCTCTTCAACAAACTTGACGAAATTGCTTTCCCATTACTACAGACAGAATACAGGCAAAATCTACCTTGACTGTCACTTTCAAAGCCTCAGAGGCCTTTATAGTATAGAGAGTGCCAAAGAAAATGGAAAGAGTCACACATTGTCCCAGACGACTTTAGAGAGATATTTAAAAAAGATCAACCTGTTGTTGTGTGTGTCGGAAGGATCAATGTGACGTATGAAAGATAGGAGAAAGAATCTAACATGAAGCTTGCGCAGAACCCAGTGGGTGGGACAAGATTATGTCTAGTGTGCAAGGACATGAAGTGGATTCTTTTGTTTGAACGGCGTTGAACGCATTTGCTGCACTATACTTTTACATAACAGGACCACATTAGCTGGTCCTCTCTTACACACACACACACACACACACACACACACACACACACACACAAACACACAATCACTCTAATTTGTGCACACAGACACACATGACGTTTTACTGGCACTAATAAACCGAAACATTCATATTCACTCTAAATCACACACATAATCACACATAGATTCTTACGTGCACACAGACACACATACGTTTTTTCCTCACACAAATAAACAGACACAGACATACACACATTAACTAACAAACACAATCACACATACATTCATACCTGCACACAGACACACATACTCTTTTACTCGTATGCACACAAACTCACAAACATGAAATCAGAAATTGACAGGTACACCATTCACATGCATAACCACAAACAAATATTACGTGGGCCTACAATACACACACACCGACACACACACACAAACACACACACACACACACACA